AAAGCTCTTAGCATAAATAGAGAGTAATAACTGAAACTACAATTGTTGTATTCATCTAACTCCTTGTGGTGCTGGAATCTGATAATAAAGACAATACTAATGGATCACAATTTCAGCACTGTGGAAATCCTTAACCGGTATAAACTATTTAAGAGGTGGAAAAAATGGTATTTTAGTGGATGTCAATCGCAAAGTTCTGCTTTATTTCTTAACTAGTAATACAGATCCAGTATATTGAACTGATTCCCTTTAATAAGATTGCTGTCACCCACAAACAGGGATTTAGGAGATAAGGGTTTACCTTTCAGATGGATTGCATGAGCAAAATGAGCATCTTAAACAGCAGTGTTTTAAATAGTCTTTGATTTCTTACAATCTTTATCAGAAAGAGATTTAACCCTTTACTGCTCAGACTGATATTGAAAGCTGCCTATTTGCTAAGTAACTTTAACCTTCCCCACAAGGGTATGTATTATTGCTTGTTCAGTTTTCATTCACTAAATACTTAGAATGGATTGTTGCATTATACTAAGTGCTTTTCCTTTCCATGTTCTTTATTTATTAATAGACTAATACCTCATATATGGTCTTTATAAAAAGCCAGTAATTTGTGCAACATTATCGGAATGTGCAATATTCTCGTAGTAGGAAAAATGCTGGGGTGTGTGTATGTTTATTTCCTCCTTTTTCATTGCTAGTAGAGATTTTAGTTTCTTCCGTAAAATTAATGTATGACTCAACTTAAGTGTGTAAATCATGTAGATTTCTGCATTTTTTTTTCTTTAATGTGCTCCGTCAGTCCCAGGCATGAATCAAATAATCTGTCTGGTTCATACCAACCTGGGCATCCAAGTGAACAAATTATTATCTTCAAGTTCTGAATTACTTTATCTCACAAATATGAAGTTTTTTGTTCTTGTTATTTTAAGAGAGAGGAGGTTTCAGTATCCATTTGAGAAAAATTGTTCACACGGATGAGTAAAGACTTGCTGTGGAAGGATGCAGCCTTTAATATTAAATGTAAGAGTATCAGTGAGTCATCTCTAGAGACGCTGACTACTGGAACTTAGTGTGAGGCAACCCTACAAACAGGATGGAAAGGTAAAATATTAATATCTTAGTCTGGGGAATATTTTAACCGTTTAAAAAAAAAAAATCCTTCAGAAATAACAGAACTGGAGGTGTTTTTTTTAAGCATGAGTGAAGGAAGATTTGAAGTCCCTACTTATAACCAAGCTACTGATCTCTCCTAAGGGTAGTTTTCTCTTGTGAACTTGGATCTGTTCTACAAGAGGAGTCTATTTGTGTAATCCTGAATTAGAGGAGAGAAGATAAAATGAGCTCTTAAAATCGCTCGAAACACAACAATCCCAAAAATTGAGGTACATTTTTAGTGAGCGAGTGCGTTGTCTTTCGGGGATAATTTTAGGTGAAGACCAGGGGTCCTTGGCTGCTTCAAGGTTAGCATCTCTCTAAGGATGCCCAAAACTTCATTAATGCAAAGTATGCTTGTTCTCCTTTTTAAAGTTTAAGTATGAAGATATTAATGAAATGAGGATTGTTTGTTTTCTAGCTAATTGACTTTTAGCTGAAGGAGTGCAGGCCGGCTATTCACTGTCAGCATTCTTTAGTTCCATCAGAACACAAGCTTGCAAAACATGTGCTTCTCACGTATTCAGAGCTCTTGCACATTCTTTTCCTATTTATAGCGTTTGCTTCATGGCAGGCTCTTGAGTGGAAGTCCTGATGCAACCTTATGACACCCCTGACTTCAGAAGTTTCTCAAGTTCTTGGGTTGTATCTTGCCGCCTTTGGTTTCCATATCTTATAAAAGACCCAGCAGAAGCTATTTTTGTTATTGGAGGGTGGAAAAATACAATTCTTCTGGATTTCTTGAAAGATATTTACACATACATAACTCAAATGCTTAAGTTCCTAAAACTTCATGAAAGACGAGTGCTTTACTTACATGTTGTTTTGTTTCCATTTTTACTTTTGAAACACAGTTGGTATCTAGTAGAAATGAAACTACTGTAAACTTAATTAGGGTGCCATTGCATTAAATCTGTGGAAATGTTCATGTGTCATTATTTTATTATGATTTTTAAGGTAGTCTCAAGCACTTACATTTTATAGACCACCACATTTTCCCTGGAAAAAATCTATGGGATTATGAAAAGGGGGAAGGTAAAAGTAGAGCTCATTGAAGTGGGGGCAGGGGCACGGAATTTCCCTGCTCTCTTTCTTACAGAGAGACAGACATGGGGAATCGGCTGGAGTTTAGGGATTATGCAAGTATACTAAGCAGGCAAAAAAAGCCTATGCAAAAGGCCTTTTCCTTAGAGGCAGTAGGTATAACAGCTGAAAGCCTCTTTGCCTTGAGGACTGCTGCATCTCTCCTTGCTGCCTAAACTCTGTCTACCCTTCTGAGGGGTGTAGCAGTGGTGGATTCCCGCTGGAAAGTACAGATTCTGAAGCGGAGATGAGGATGTCGTCATGCTGATTTGAGAGTTGACCTTGTGACTGCTTGTAACTTCTTGTTTTCTGGACCTAATCCTGAGAAGGAGGAGAACTTGAAAGTGTTAGGACTTGGTATGTCTCTGCATCAGGCCATCTGTCATTGGAACTTGCTTTCCTCGAACCTAAGCAAATCTCCCATCTTAACAACGCAAAAACAAATTTTGGATACTAAATGTGATAGAGCTAGTGGCAGATCTGTGTCAGAAATATCTATTAAAGAGTTTTCCTGTGCAATAAAAAAACTTCAGAGTATCTTGACTGTTTAATGTAAGGGGCTCGCTTCAGAACAGAGCCCTGTGCAGTGGATCATTTGGCTCTGGTCACTGACATGGATTAAACCTGACTGGTCTGCCCGCAAGCACCGATTCATAGAACTGTACTAGCGGCTTCTGTAATGTGTGTGTCTGCATGTGTGTTTTTTGTTTGTTTGGGGTTTTTGGTGGTGGAGGTGGGGAACTGGACAGAGCTCTATATTATATACAGTAAAGAAGTACAAGTTGCCTTTAGGACTCAGATCTAGGGGACAGAGAAGTGTGCATGAGCAGCCACAGAAACAGTTCCATCTGCTAACTTAGATGGGGCTTTCCATTGCATAGGTCTGTCTGGGCTTTGTGAATGCTACTTCTGCCCCTTTTGACTTGCAGATGCAAGTTGGGGACTAACTTGGGGAAAATGGATCTTATTTTTATTTATTTATTTTAATGCATGGAGGACTTTGACTAGGAAGCCAAAATGGCAAGAAGGGGATGAGAAAATGAGTGCTTGATGAGTTATGTGTAGAGAAGACCTCTGTCAACAGCTCATCTCATGGGCCTGTTGCATACGTGTTTTGCATCAATTGCCAGGACCCAACCGGAGCATTCACGAAACTTTCGTTTCTCCAGGCATGGCTGCCTGACTAAGAATTGTGCAGCTTCGCCTGATATGCACGCTGTCAGTCTGATTTCATGTAAACTGGTGCCCCATAGGGAGGGGGAATGTTGGCCTGGTTCCAGAGAAAGACTGGGAATTGTGGAAGACCCAGCTGACACAAGCTGCTGTTGTAACTTGTCTTCCTACATGTGAATGTCCTGCAATGCAAAATGGAGAATTGTTTTAGTAATGAGAACTGCGTTTGGGGGGCAGTACAGGGAGTTGCGAGTCCTGCCAGCTGAAGGTTGGTGTGACTGATGTTACTGATGTCCTGCAGGATATAGATGCACTTGCAGGATGGTGTCCTCAGCCCTAATTTGGGGGATGGAGGAATGGGTATTGTAGCAGAGTCCAGAACATCTGCTGTTCAGGCTGGATGAGATCAGTCTGTTCTAGAGGGGCAGAATATTGAATAGTATGGCTGTGAGTCAGTCAGCATGAACTGACCCAGGGACTCTGACTGTGTGTTGCTGTCTTCTGAATCTATAGTCTTCAGTTTTGCATGAAACTCTTTCTGCAGGCACCGCTCTTGTTAGCAGAATTTCTTCTAGAGATGAGAAGGAAAGAAAACACGTTTTAGGTGGTTACTTGCTGATGATCCTGCCATCATCTGTTCTTCATCTCCCACTGGCTCAGAGGTGAGTACGGTAAACAGGAAAGAAGAAAGATGAAGTGAGCCTTGTCTGAGGAGTCCCACTGATTTTAATCTATTTAACTTTAACACCTGGCACTTGCAAGATTTTTAGCTTTTGATGTATGGAATTTTAGGTGAATCTAATGAAAAGTTGTATTTTATGCCTATGGGGCCGGAGTAACACATGTTTCTCTTTTCTGTAAAGTGCTTATTGTTGCATGACAGAACTATTAAATTACAAAGTGGAGCTGAAATGCCTGTCTTGGGGCAGTTTTCTCCAGACTCCACCTGGCTGAAGCCACAGGAACCTGTTCTAATGCCACCATGATAGTGCTAAATATGCAGAGTTCCAACTGAGAAGGAAGATAGTCTTTCCTCGGCCCAAATTACCTAATGACTCTAAACAATGATTTTGATTCAGTCATTCTGCTTTAATATATAAATTGGTGACATAGGAGTTGATCTAAGTTGACGTGTGTCTTTGGTCTGTCAAACCCACATACGGGTTGTCCGTTCTGCTACCTCTTGGTAGCTCAAACTTGGAGACAAGTAGGGAGGCAGCGAGGGGGGGGTGTAGCATGTGTTGCTGAAGTCAGTTCAGCATGCAGGTGTAAATAAATAGCTATTCAGATGGAGCTTATATATAACTTGTGCCCTGGTTCACTGCTTCTGGGGGGAAGTGTTGCTGAATTGTTTCTGCTAGGAACTGAATGCAGAGCTTGTGGTTAAATGTTATTAAAATCAAGAAACAGACATTCTCTCTTCCTCTCCCTGCTCACCCCTTTTTTTCTTTGAAGGCATTGGGCTCCACACTTCCTCCAATCTTTCTGTTTTCCCTATTTGGTAATGGTCTTACTTACCATGTTTCTATTTGCTGTGCAAGTCTGCATCA